CTGGTTGCCGAATTTTCCGCCGACCAAATTAGGGTCTCTTTTTGGTTAACAGACTGTAGGGTGCCGTATCAAGAGTAGAAATTTGCAGGGTTCTCCGAAGTGACCTTGAGGTTGGCAACGAAGTACAACATTGAGCCAGCTTTCATACAGAAAGCGCACCAGCACTTCGACACGGCGGAGAACCGGAAGACAGGCAACGCGGCCTGGCTCTGTTTGTGGTGATCCCTGATGATTGCATCTTCGTCGCTGCCTACCGTAACATATTGCTTGGCAGGTCTTTGGACCAAGAAGGATTTCAGTCACTGGCTGCTTGAGTGTCATTCATGCATACAGGACGATGTCAGATGACCAGCTTGCCATGTTCTGTGGTCGCGAGGTTCCTTCCACTGAAGGAACGATCAAAACTTGCTCCTGAGCGGATGACGTTCTATTGGAACCGGTTGGACAAGCGACCAGACCGCACCAGCCATGGTTTATCCGAGGTTCAGATCTTTCTACTACATGTCGCTTAAGCCTTAAGGGACGAGCACCACTGCGTGGACTTCGAAGAGTTCGTGATTTTCTTACAAGCCCTGACTTCCACGGCTGCTAAATACTTCAAAAGCATCCCCGAGTTCCTTTTCCCGGACCTGGTCAAGCAAGCAGAGGGATTTGACAATGGCGAGGAGCCGGGCAGGGGAATGCGAAGACTGTCTCGTTCGCGGGCCGCTTGTATCCGCTTGTTCTGTCTGCAGGAGGGCCCAAAGGGCCCTGTGATGCCCTCGGCCAGCAACAGCCAGGCCTGTGCGCTGACATCTTGAATTGCTTCCATTGATGAGAAAGTCTTTTGAGAAACATAGGCCTCGCATGTCGCTGGCGAGCATGCTGTTCGGTGTTTTGAAGGGGGGGTGAGGCATAAGCCGCAGTTCAATTCCCGTGCAGTAGGGAGGTGCTGACATGTGCTGACGGGTTTGCCAGGATCACTTTGTCGCTTACAGCTGACTTTCGATTCGATTCGCATGTCAGGAGAGCAAGTCTCTCAGGGCGAGGCAGTCAGTCCTCGGCTCCGAGGACTCGGACCTCGCTTCACTCTCGCGATCGCGAGCGTGGACCAGTATCGCACAGAAAGGGCCTGCGCCCAATCTCGACGATCTGGATACGTCGCTACTGGCACCACGTCGAAGTATCAAGTAACAATTGTGGTCCTCATCACCCTCACTGCGTGCCCTGCTGGCTGCAGCGGGCTGGATGCGGCATGCCTTTTCCAGAATTCGGAGCGAAGTGCTTCTACCTTGGTGCTGTTCAAAACACTGCCAAGGAACAGAGGGCCCCGGAAGGGAGTGTAAGGACCTCAGAGTTTGCCCTGGGAGAGTTGTACAGGCTGTACAGTTTACGGTCATGGCCGGCACGCCGGGCCGTTGCCTTTGTGCTCTCAAAGCAGTCTCGTGGAGTCCAACCCTTTGTCATTTCACAACCTCTTCGAAACGATTGAAGTCACTCTATGTAGAGACCTGCTGCAAAGCGACTGCTTGAGTACTTCTTGGGGTTCCACTTTCTTGTTCACTCTCTCTTTGTCTCTGCCTCCTGTGCTCTCACACTCTGTGTTCTGGTTCTCAGTATCTCTCTTGCTCTTTCCCGAATTCCCTTGCTCTCTCGAGTTTGCCGTCTCTCGCCCTTCCTGCTACCTCTCGCACCCGTGCACTGCAGGTTTTGGCATGCAGCGCGACCCGAAAAGAGCACCTAACCGAAACACGTGAATTCCGCTCGCCCCTGGGCTGTAACCATTCTTCCTACTAGGGTGCCTTGACCCACAACACACAGTTTCTCGAGCCGCACCAATGTTTGCCATCAAAATGGCGCCATACCTCGGACTCAGGCAGGGGACCCTCGATTCTCAAGGAAATTCGACCACCCTCAACCAGCAGCCGCTTAATTTCACTGAGCAAACCGCTCCAAAAACGAAGCCAGACAGGAGTATGACAACGAGCCTAACAGACGACAGACAACGCACTAGCTGCGCAAACTTACCTACGGGCAGGGAGATGACCGAGCTCGTCCCAATACTCTCACCTTCTCTTCCTTGAGCTAGTTCGTGCTGTCACGAGTTGGCTGCCGGCGTAGATCCGTTCGTTTGCAGCTCACTTGCACCTTGTATAACTGTATAACATTATGTGACTCTTTGGCGGCAGCACTTGGAAGTGCGTGGCTCCGTGCAACGCATCACGAACTGGCAAGCTTGTGCAGGATTTCTACTTCTCCTATTCTTACGAGCTCAGCCGCACTGTTCAGCAGAATCTGGCAGATGCCAAGTGTGCCGCACGAGGCTCGGTAAGCACTGCACCGGCTGGTTTGGATGGTGATGTCGTAGTCGCAGCCTGTGCCTAACTGCTGCCTCGCACGTTCCAGGGCAGCTCAGACCACTCTATGTGGAAAAGGACCACAACTTGTAGATGTGTTTCGCTGTCAGCCGCGTGTCTGCAGTCCACTGCAAGGATGCTTCAAAGCACCACAGATTCGTGCGCGGAGCCGAGACAATTGCAGCGGTTCCTGCTCATGGAAGCTGTGGGCTCATGTGGAGGTGGAACCACTACCACATGACGCCTTTCTTCGCGAACGAAGGCTGGCAGCACTGGTGCCTTTCGATAATCCACGGCTTCTTCGCGTGCTGGGCTGAGCTCATTCCCATATTCCAGCCGTCACAGCAAAGAGGACAGAAGGGCAGAGCATCCGGGCATGATAAGGCATACGAAGTGCTCTTCTTTCGGCTGGACCTTTGAGGTTGCACTGATTGCCAGGCAGTGCGACCTGATTCGGATTTCGTCTTGCACGGACTCGCGGACTCGGGGAGGCGCTCGCGATTCTATGCAGGAACCCGCGCTGCTGCCTCGCTTGGACATGCCAGCGGTGTTTGGATAGGGAGCTCTTCTTTGTCATGCAACAGAGTGAACACTCCAGTTAAGCGGTATGCGCGTAGAGCCGTACTCAGGAGCAACAGGCCGCACACATCCGCACACCATGTGTGACAGTGTGACAGTGCAGACCATGCAATGACGCATTTCAATGATCACTACCTGTTCATCCGATTTAGCCCAGCCTAGTGATCAATAATCGGCATGTTCACCCATCCATGCACGTCAGACACGACAGTTCAGGCAGAAGCAGAGCTGCTTGAAGTCGATGTGATGCGAAAGACAAGAATCAACAAGTGTTGCGAAGCATAAGACGCGAAAGCAGGCTATCGAAAGCGCGGGCTCAACGTGGATGGCCAGGCAGGCTGCCGTGTAGGTGCATTCGAAAGGTTCGAGCTGAGATGAAACGCAGGTTGGGAACGATGTGGAAACCGAGCAGCTGCTTTGCGACGACTCTCTGCGCCATTTGTCAACTGGCCACGTGATGAGCTTCGTCCAGGCCGCAGTTGGCTCACGTCTCAATTGGTAGAACTTGTCGAGCTTCCCACGCATTTGCAGATCCGTGGTAGCGTGCCGCTGTTCTGGTCACAAGAAGCGACCGCCATCAATCCAAAGCCACCGGTGTGGTTCTCAGGGTCTTGAGCTTGCCGTGGTTCGTGTTCACCCTGGCCAGATGGGCAGTGTTGAACCAGAAAAATGTCCACTATCAGAGTTTTGAGAGTTGCCGATCTGCTCAACGCTCCCTTCGCTTCCTTTCGTCGCTCGTCAGAGTCGAGCCGTCGCATCCTGAGCACGCCCTCCAGTTGGCTGAATTGAGACCCTTTCCAGCTCTGAATTTCAGCCTACCGTGATGATCTTCGTATGTTCTGTGCTTGGAAGTCGTTTGGTTGTCTAGGCGCTTCGGCTATCTCTGTAGGTTCCCTGCGCCTTGAGGATGCCGATGGTTCGTTTTTCGCGGGCTTGCACACCGCATGGTCGGGTGGCACCCTTGTTTTGCAACCCTCCATGCCCGACCCTTGGGCTGCGTCTTGCTATGAGGAATGTGATAATTTCCAAGTCAAGCGCAGCGTAAGCAGTTCCTGACATGCATCACAGGGCTGCTATGCCGAAAGGGGTGTTTCTGCAATTCTCGCCAGTCTCGAATCGATGCATTCTGGGAGGTGTTCGTGTCTCTTGTGCTTCGGGCAGGGTTCCCTTGGCCTGTAGTGCGGTCCCGAGCTGCTGCTTGGGCGGCGATGTGGATACCTAGCGGTCATGTCGCTCCTTGTGCAGATTTGTTGATGAACGAAATTTAAATTAATGAAGCTACTTCTCGATTCGTCGCATCGCAGAAAAAAGAGTTGCACAGTTTGAGCACGTCATTAGCTTAAGTTGTTGTGGGTGTGCCGCCCGGTGTATCGGGCAGTGAACATTGGTAACATGGGAGATTGAGTTGAGGACAAGTCCCCAGTCCCCAGCTCCGCACAAACATACTTGTTTTGAGCTGCTCTGTTTATCATGTCATCGCTCCCAAGCTCGTTGATGAGGCTTGACTCCAGGCTTTGTCGCGCAGTACAAGCTGAGAGGGCGGTGCGAGGGGAACATGAAAAAAACTGATGTGCAGATGCTCATGAAAATGCTCATGCAAGTGATTCGCATGACATGCAACCGAGCCTCTTCTCCAACACCAAGACCGTCGCAAAAAGGCAAAGCAACCAGATCTTCTTGCCCTGGGCGAATGCCTACGTCAGTAGGTAAGATTGTGCTGGACACGCACTAGAGGATTTCGTGCCGAGTTCAGACCATGCCAGGGGAATGTCAGGCTCTATGGCGCTCCCAATGCTAGTCCCGGCAGCCAGTTCTGGAATTGTGTCACAGGCAGTTCACAGACTTCGGATCCTGCTTTCTTTCGTCCATTCAGCGCTGGAGACGGAAACGCAGTTTCTTCACCCTCAGTCCTGAAAGTTTAACGAGTTCAATGCCCAGAGGTCGTGTATCCGCGCTGTGACCCGACGCTGTCTGCTACACGCCGACACTTTGCTGACTTGCTTGAGAGGTTCGGGACTGGTTGCTCTTGCTTCGCTCCGTGACAGCTGTGTAGTGGAATGAAAAAGTTTAAGGAGGCTGTGCGCACGGAGGTATGGCACTCCACAGCTCGTGGTCAACCTTATGAAGGCCAAGAAGGTGAATTGCCATCCCAGAGCCCGTCTTTTCTGCATCTGCTCGAACAAGGACACGATTCTTGCCCCACCATGCTCAAGCTGCAGGTATAGCCAATGTAAGCCTACGGCAAAGCAAGCAGACAACCGCCCTGCTCAGCGATGCTGCAGTGCAATCTTGGAACCCGAAGCTCACATCATGCAGTCTGCCCAAAGGAATGAGTTTATCTAGTTGCTTCGTCTTGTTGCTTGATAGCTCGTGCATCTTTACCAGGCCTACTCTACATGCATGATGCGAGTCTAAGCTGAATGTCGCGCCGGGGCGGGACGGAGGAGCTGCTTCCGTTCGAGCCAAGAGACCAAACGGTAACCGTTGAAATGACGCAGTCCTTCTCCTTCCGCCAGCCATTGGCTCGATGTCGTGTTGTCTCAACCCAACTCATGTGAGATTTATGCGCTTAAACGCCACGGGCCGCAGCGCGTACAAGCATGTTTTCAGTCTGCAGTTTGACATTAGCTGCCATACCCCTAGATTTTGAAAGCCTCGGGCTCGATATCAGTATAGAACCAGAAATCCAGTCCTGCACAGCAGCGTCATGATTGGGCAAGCTCGCAGATGGTATGACTGGCACTCGCCCGGAGACTCCACCACGCTACCGCTACATTCGCACCGGGACAAGCGACGACGAGCAGGAGAATGACGGCAATGGCAACACAGTGCTGGCAGCACGGAAGCGTGCAGGGTCAGTGGGAAGACCGGTGCTGATTTCGCGAAGATTGGATCGTCAGAGGCACGGTGGCACACAGGTTCTCAGCGAGGCAGCGGTGCCTCCTCAATCTGTTTTGCAAGCGCCTGCCCTTTTGGGCCTGGGGTGTATTGACGCACCATTTGGGCTGGACATATTTACTCGCAGGCACCAAGGCGGGCCTGAGAATTGCATGTTTGCGATGGACTTCGCTGCAAATGTCCCCAGCGAGTGCCGAACCTGCTTTGGAAATGATCCAATGGCACGTATCCCAGCCGTGCCAGCTGCACCATCTTTTGCTTGGCCATGCATGACGGCCAAGTCTGCATGTCGATCACAGAGCGTCGGGACGAACGTTCGCCGAGAGTCTGCATTCTTACGGCCAAGTAGCTCTGTTTTCGGTGCACCAGCGCCTGCACCCACCACGGCGCCCCCACCGCCTTCACACCCACACTCTGTCTTTTCTCATGTGCCACCTCGCTGCCACTCTTTCTCTTGGCAGAGTGCTCATGGCACAAATGCATCCGCATGCTTGCAATCTGATGGGCAAGAGCACCTGCCACCGCAGCCAGGATCAGGGCCGGTGTTCACGTCGAAGCCAGAGGAAGACGTACAAGTTGTGCAAGCGAACATTTTCAAGTTCCAGCCTTGCGCTCCCTGCACTCGCAGCATTTTTGCCTCTGTGGATGAGCATCCCTCCACTTGGCAGCAAGAGCCGCAAAAGCACAGCGCCTTACAAGAACTACAGCCCCAGCAGGGCAGTATGCCAAGGCAGACGGGCAAGGATTCTCAGAAGCTTGCGGGGCTTCCTGGCAGCATGAGCATCCCGTTGTGTGGTATAGTCCTTCTGCAAAGTTAAACTAAAGAAAGAACCCCGACAGAAGCCAGGAAGCTCCAATCATCTCAGACACAGGCGGCTGCCGGGTGTTGTTCCCTGAAAGCGCCGAGTGCAACAGAGTTCATGGAGTCTGGGAATAGTCGGTTAAGGCCGTAGCACGTGCGTGAAATCACCCTCAACAATTGCTCATCAGATCTTGATGGGGTGAATGCTCTCTTTCCAGACTGCATCAACTCGCTTCAGATGGCTCGCCTGGCAGGTGGAGCACGAGCAGTTCAGTGGAGGGAGCTGCCTGAACCTGAGCAAATTAAGTGCTGGCATCGAGAAGCGCAGCCAGTCAGACCTCCGGTATCTGAAGCTTCCGCAACTTGAGGTGAACAAGCTGCGGCAGACCTGCAACCTGACTTGCATTCAGGAGACGAGTCTGAGGCGATTTTGTTGCACAGAATTCAAGCAGATATTAATTATCCAGTGACATAGGCGGGAGACACCATGAGCATGTACCACCCAAGGAATTCAGTGCAAGATGGCCGTGTCGCAAGGGCTACGCGCAGCGGGTCACGCAGCCAGCCTGAGTTTGGAGGCAGTCTCAGAGACTCCCTCTTGAAAGAGACTGCCTCTGACTGCAGCCACAGCCTGGCCTCACAGGGCCCACGATACCTCCGAGGAGGCAGGACATGACTCGAAGAGTTGCTGCGGTGCAGCCGCCATTAGCCGCCTGCTCCAAGGTCGCAGATGTCCGGCGCACGGATTCTCATTACCGGCGCGAGTGGCCTACTGGGACGGCAGGTCATGAAGGCTTTCAGCACCTGGCAGGCTCAGCTATGATGAGCTCACATCGCTCCATCTATCTCCATCTTTAGAAACTTGAACATGCGATGCACAACATGCTCGGCAGGTGCAAGGCATTTGCAAGCGCCGCGCAAACATTCCCAACGTTGCCGCCTGTGAATCTCATTCGCAGTCAGTCAGCAGGGTGGAGGCTCTAGTCTACTTTTCTGAAGTCGTGTCCACCGAGAAAAGTTGGCTTTCTGAGCACTGAGGATCTAACCAAGGAAGCCGCCAAAGACTCAGATTGAAGTGCTCCATCTGCACCCGCCGTTTTTTCTGGTGCCTCAGGCAGTTGCCCAGCTTATGGAGCATTTTCGACCACATGTCGTCCTTCACTTGGCCGCCGAGTGGCGTCCCGAAGTGCTTCGTCAGCGTCCGGAGCAGGCAAGGCAGCTGAACGTGGATGCCACAGGCACGGGCGCTTGGGTTTTATACATGGTCTTAAGGAATCTGCGACCAAAAAAGTGCTCGTAGGCTTCGTTGCCACGGCATGCGAGCGCCTTGGTGCTTGGCTTGCGCCTTGGCGCTTCAGCGGCTTCCGGGGTCGAGGCGAAAGCGCATCGAGGCGGGGGCGGATGCCCGACGCGTCGATGCGGCGCTTCTTCACCTAGGTTCCTCATTCGGATGCTTCGCAGGGTTCACCCACATTCCCTTGTCGGATGTGCAACTCTTCCCGATTCAATGCGAGCCTCCTTGCTCGGAGATACATTCGGCTTCAGGTCGCTACCTTCTTTGCATCGGTTTCTTGAATCAACTCGTGTTATGTGAACTCCCATGCTGTCGGATGGAGCACTTGTGTGTGTGTGTTTTCTTTGGCTTCTTTCGCGATCTTCCGTGTAAGCGCAACTGGCAGTTGTTGTGAGCTGTGAATTCGCTCGTTTGTGTATGCTTGCGTATCTCCCCCGTAGTGCGGGGATGGGGTACTGTTGGTCATAAGCTCGTGATATGAACTCCTTTGCTCTTGATTGCTTCGCATAGCTGACCTGCTGATCGCTTCGGCAGGCAACTCCTTACATATCTGCATCAGATGTGATTTCCTTCATTTTCCTTTCCGGGCACTTTGCACTATTCCCCCCTTCCATTGGATGCCCCCAGAAGCTCTCTGAAAGAAGATTTGCCAGGCCGTATGTTAACGAAGAGCAGCAGCACCCACCCAGGGGCCTGCTCGCAGCGCATGCAGCATCAGTGGCCTTTGCTTGATAGTCGGACTGTGAAGGAGCTCTGAAGTTCGCGCAAGTCGGACAAGCGCGCATTCATAGTGTCATAGAGCGCGCACGTTTGTGAATGCAAAGGCACATTAGTGTGTTGACTCCGACCTGAAGCAAGGTGCATGTCAGTGCGGACTGTGTCTTCGATGGCACCTCACCTCCGTACACGACCAATTCCAAGCCCAATCCACTCAGCGAGTATGGTCGCATGCTTGGTAAATCAGTCAAGGTTTGTCGCACAATTTTCATGCGGACTGGCTGTAGCATGTGCGTGGGGTACACGGAGAGGTTGGCACAAGCTCCACAGCGAGCAGCTTGCGCAAGCAGCGTGTCCAGAAGCAGCGGTGCTCCGGGTCCCGCTTCTCTACGGACCGCTTGCAGAGTCGCTCTCGGAATCGGCTCCAAGTCTGCAAGAACCAGCAACGATCGTGCGCAACGGCACGCGCGCAGCATGCGCAGCCGCAGGCAGTGACGAGTTTATGTTCCGATCTGAAGAGCGGCATTCGCCGCCTGGCAGCAGTCGCGGAGCCTCGGAGCCTCGGACGCCGCCTTAATGCGCTGAGGTGAAGTGGATGCTTGGCAACAGTGCTATCCTACTTGGACCGGCGATGTTGCCATTGTTCTGAAGAACATGGTCGAGCTGCACTTGGCCGGAGAGTGTTTGAAGGGCATCTATCACTTTTCAAGTTGCTCAACTGCAGCATAAAGCCTTCGCCCTGGCCCGCCACAGCATGACTCCTGCAGTGCATAGCACCTGCCAGGCAGCGAGCGATTCACATGGTACGCCTCGAGCTAAGTTGATATCTCGTTGCTTTCCATTTCGTGTGGCTGTGCTCTCATTGACTCATGTCTTAGGAGCCGGCCTGGCTTTTCTGGGTGGTGGGTGGTGGGGATACGCTAGTGTCACGCGAGAAAGTAGTCGTCAGGCACTTCTCTTCTTTTTTTCCCCCTCCCCCCACCAACTACTACTACTACTACTACTACTACTACGACTACTACGACTACTACTACTACTACTGCTGCTGCTACTACTACTACTACTACTACTACCCCTCCTCCTCCTCCTCCTCCTACTACTACTACTACT